TTGAACATTTCATATATATCATACTTGTCGCTTTTCAAATGCAGAGGATTCTTAAACGTTTTAATCCCACGAATTGACTTACGGATACCATCGACTTTTTCCTCTGTGTTTTTTTTTGACAAAAAAAAGAATAGTAGCTTCGATCGACTGATCGAACTCTCGTTACATTTATGAGAGATGATAGAAATTCTATTGAGATTTATGATGACGGAAAAATAGATTTGATTCGAACAACATTTTTTCATCTAAACATCACAAATATGATGTAATATTTTCTGAAACTTACAGGATCTTTTCGAGCATTACGACGAAAGAAAGCCTTACAACTTTCACATGCAATTGCACCAAAATTGTATCCATGTGCTGATGATCCACAAACGACACAAACCAAAGAACTATCTTTAGGTTTATTCTTCGTATTTTTTGGTTGTACCTTGCTCTGAATACAATACATTCTTTTTTTCTCTATCAGGATAATCTAACACTAACCTGTTTATCAACCCTTTCACTAATATTACCATCGGACGGAAGAATAATTTGTTTTAATAATGATACATTGTTGTTGTTTTCAATTTGATCAATGATACTATCATCGCCGATAATAACCATTATTCGTTGTCGTTTTGGCTCTGTTCTTGGCCATACATTGGATGACATGATTAAAAAAATTTAGGTTGTTTTTCTAAAACGACCTAATTTCCAGTAAATTAAGATTTTTTTAAGATAAAAAGTTTTCTCTACATGGTAACAATCGTCTTAATTAAACAGATTATAAAAGGAGAAAAAAATTTCCCAAAAAGATAAAAATAATAAACTTAGTACGATATTGAATTTCATGTAGTATAAAAGCTTTACTGCGACTGATCAGCATAAAGGTGAATTTCGTCACTTAAAAGTATAGAAAACGTCAGATAACTATACTGTAGTTCAACATAAGCATACAGGTATCATTTTATCTGTTACAACTCAGAAAAGGCAATGAATGAGATATAGTTTCAATTGTGAATCTTCTTTTATTCAGAATTATGAGGAAAAATGTCAGAATAAGTGGATCATGTATTCAGATGTTGGTGTTCGCCATTTTACTGACGAATCCACAATACAAACACAACTTAAATGCTTGTAATAATAAATATCACAAAAGTAAATTCGAAAACAAGAAAAAGAATAATGAAAATAAGGTAAGAATATTGGTAGAAAAAGGATTTTTTTAAATCTTAACAGTACTTACTGTCCATACCTAGGCAGTTTTTCTATAGAAAATAACTTATTTTTTAACATTCTCTTTAGTCATTTCTTGTCAGTATTTTTAGTTGTTTAAATCATTTTGTCGTTTTTGTACAACTTTTGAAGAATTGTTTCAAGAAAAATGCGCGTCAGCACAGCCCCGTTAGTACTAGAATGTGGAACTCACATGTCTTCTTTAGCACATAAAGTCGTTTACCTATGTAAAATTTGTACACTGTTTAATTTAGAATATTCAAAAAAGTATTATGACTATTGAAATTGCCAAAAAACTTTTGAATGTTCTAGAACGATCATACCTTTATTGTTGATGCAATCTGGCGTCTTTTTCCGTTGATAAGGATTTATTGAAAAGGACTCTAGTTCTCATTATCATCTAGTGAGAGAAGGTGCACTCAATGATCTTTGATCTTTGTTTCTGAAGTTTGTAGTGGGTGCCGAAAAACCTCGACCTATAACTTATACTCACTATTTTTCTCGTCAGATATGTGAGTTCTACAAAAATATTGAAGATAAGAAATATTGATTAAGAACTAAATATTTCAAAATTCAAGAAAAGATATTTGAAAACCAATCATAAATGGTGAATGAAATACATAAAACTTAAAATATCTCTAAGGAAAACTTCTGATCAATGAATATTCAATCAGTGCAAAAAAGTTAAACATTCATTTGTTTATATAGGATTATATATAATAGACAAACGTATCAATATTGGTTTCTACGACCAATTATTTCTTTTACTAAGAAAAAGATTTTCCAATTCAGTGTGAAACTGTTGAAAAACAATGTGAAAATGCACTTTGTTTACAGAAGAAATTCACTGACGCAGAAAAACAGAAAAAGAGAGTTGACTAAAGATTTTAATATCGAAATAAAACAATAAACTAGAGAAAGATCTCATTTGCACTTTCTTTTGATCTTATCGTAAAAAAACAGTAACACGTGGAAAACTAAGCTGTCTGAAAGATGTTAATGTAATTTTCCTTTCCATTAATATAAAGCTACACTGATACTTTATTTCAATGTGTAATATACAATATAAAATTTACTCGGTCTCAAAATTATTGTGAGTTCAAGGAAATAAAATCACTTACGTCGTTTCAATTAAACCATCTCATAACTTTACATCGATTACTGATAAGGACATTGACACGCACAATTAATGACGTTTTTACTTGGACTAGCCTTTTTTTTCATTGTTTGTAATTATAACAAACAGAAAAAAAGTAAAAGAGAAAGAAAAAGGGATTTTTTGCTTACATTCTATCGAGCAGTCAGAACTAGGGGTGTCAGTTTTGCGTTCCGTTCCCAGGAACGGGGAACGCAACATCGTCTGGCATAAAACATTAGCTAAAACTGTATAGACACAACGATGTATTGAAAAAATGGAAAAAAACGCACTATGGATTGCGTTCCTCGTTCCTGGAAACAGAACGCCGACACTCCTAGTCAGAACAATAAATGTGATGAGGAGAAATGCACGCAAACAGAAAGAATTTGTAAAAAGTACGGCTGTTTGCATGAATGACGCACCAGTTGAAACACAATGATGACTAAACCATGTGTTTTTTTTTCTTTCTTTTTTATCTAAGGTCTTTTCTCTTTTTTTCTTTGGCTCATCTAATCTTCTCATTTATCGTTATCTATATATGTATGTTACTAACAGATGATAAAAGATAGGCTTTAAATTAATTTTTATTCATAAAAAAACTCCGTAGCTGTTAGCTTTTCTATTACGATATACGTCTCAAACCGCCATTTATAGTGTCGGCGTAAATTTGACACGTGAAGAGAGTTGAGTTGAATGAAGAGAAAACATTAACTTAAACTGTTTACCTGTATGTCTTTGACGTCGTACTGTCCCAATAAAACGAACTATTTGGAATACGGTCAGTTACTTTATTTGATATTAAAAAAACAACAACAACCGTGGATGAAGAGAGGAAAAAAGAATAAAAAACTCGAAGAAAAAGTGAGATGACGAGAAAAAACAAATCTGAAGGACAAAAAAACAGTCAACCATGACTCACATTAGAAAAAGAACAAAATATACAGGATGAAAGAAGAAAATAATTAATATAAGGATACCGTCGAGTGATGACATCTAACGACCCTTAGAGCAATAGGTATTTTACAAGGATATATACAGATGGAGAAGAGTCTGACAAAACGGTTTGTGATCAGTGGCCTTGCGATGCACAAGCTATACACGATGTGACAACGTTTGGAATAGAGCTAAGGGAGTGGGTGCTAGTATTCTCTATATTTACACCCACACCCACACCCTCGTTTACTCATGGAAGAACGGCGTATCAATCGGACAATATGTACATAATTCGGCTGTAAACCGGGCACATGTCGAGCATAAATCAACAAGGATCGTCATTTCTGTCAATGTTTCACTAACTGAATCGGGTTTCTATGTGATCGACCATCGATACACTTATATTCTAGTAAGGTGCAGGCAATTCGAACTTCGAGTAAACATTTTTTTTCACGTTTTTTTTTGCATCATTTGATAGAGAAGGAACTGCTGATCACGGAAAACTACTTTTTTAGACTTAGCAAGTGTTTCCTTCCGGTCGAAAAATACGAAATACTCGAGAGGTGTCGTTTTTTTTCAGAAAAACACATCTTTTGCAAAAATGTGCAACACTTTCTACTTCATTCTCTTTTTTTGCTTCTGAAAATAATTTTTTCGGATTCAGTATCAAAAGCTGAGTATAGACAAGTTATTAAATCAACTGTAGACTGGAATCTTTATTGGTGGTGGCGCTTTGAATCGCGTCGAGTACATCATTTGTAGGTCGGTTTTGTAAACCTATCTAGTTTTTCTACGTAAGTAATGGAGCGAAATATTTTATCTCATTCGACTCATCATATCACCCCTCAACAAGCCTAGTATCAGGTTTTTTTCTTTTCTTTCCTATGTTGAGAAAAGTCGTTTTTACTGGTGTGATAGGATAAGGGGGAAGGTCATCTTTGAATAATATGACTATTTTTCATTCAAACCGAGTGAAAATCGGTACAAATCGGTAAAAACTGATGGAAAATCGAATGGATATATTTTTAAGATCTTCAAAGGATCTTCAAGGTGTCTCTGGAAATCCTTCTCTGGAAATAACATAGTTTTGTGATATTAATCGATATTTTATGATCTTTAATAGACAGATTAACCACTCTTCACACTTGGCTATATTATATAAACGGAGACACGCTGAATTCAAGTATTGAAATAGAAAAGAATATGTTCATTAAGATTCATTAATGTTTGTGTTTAACATTCTGTGACATGATTGAATAGATGTTTTGAAAAGTTGACTGAAAAACAGTTTGAATACATCAGCATATGTTTGACCTTGAGAACATGCTTCGATTGAATGCCAAACACGACGAAATAATTTTAATACAATATTTTCTTCGACAAAATGTTTACGAGAATCCGTTATTAATTTTATCATTTTGTTCAAAACTTTGATCTGTATGTGAACGAACAAATGCTTTTTGATTGCACCAAAGACCTTCAATTGCGTTTAGTTCACAATAATATTTAGGGCAGTATATTATTTTAACATTATATCTGATCGCCAACATTTCAAGTTTCGTAATCTATACAATAGAGTTGATTATACAGAGCAAAATACTTTTAAAAATACGGAACGGATTTGACTTACATTCTGAAAAGCTTGATGTTTTGAAAGTATCTCTCGAATTTCATCTAACTTAACTTTAGCTGGTGATTGCACACCTAAATCTTTACAAATTTCAACTAATCCTTTCGATTTACCTTTGTTTGGGTCCTGTTCAAAATAACAATCGATAACTTCTGATGCATCATTTTCATCGACATATTCGATTTTGTCAACTGGACACCGAGTAGGAATATTTTTACCAAATTCTTGTAACGAATGCGCTTTCGTAGTGTGGATTCTTCCGTTGTCGACAATGGTTTCTATCTGGTGATGCTTGTATTCCTGCTTAAATTCTATCAACTGAAATAGCCTTTCGAACTGTTCCAGTAGCGTATCATTATCAAAATATGCGTCTGTTCCAATATTAATACTGGCTGTTGCTGCTTTCGACCAAGATAATTAATATCACCATCGACACTTAATGACTTATATTTCGCAACAGCTTGTTTCCATTCACCTTCAGTGAGTTCAAAAAATGGTCCACTAGGATGCTGAACAAGAAAATGAGACACCATATGATCTCGACCACGCTCTTTCGAAAACTCGACACGATTCGAAGCGTCATCACCAATAGAGATTTCAGTCTACAATTGATTTAATAACTTGTCTATACTCAGTTTTTCATGCTGAATCCGAAAAATTATTTTCAGAAGCAAAAAAAGAGAATGAAGTAGAAATTTTTACATATTTTTGCAAAAGATGTGTTTTTCTGAAAAAAACGACACCTCTCGAGTATTTCGTATTTTTCGACCGGAAGGAAGCGCTTGCTAAGACTAAAAAGTAGTTTTCCGTGATCAGCAGCTTCTTCTCTATCAGATGATGTAAAGACATCTAAACTACTAATGGGTGTGGGTGGGTGTGGGTGTGGGTAGGTGTGGGTGTGGGTGTGTGTGGGTGTGGGTGTGGGTGGGTGTGGGTGTGGGTGTGGGTTTTATTCTGGGCAAGAACGAAACTAACACCCACACCCTCAAAGTGTCTTGCTATGAAAAAATATACACAGCTTAGCCTTTGATTTATAAATCTCTAATTTATGATGCAAAAATGCATTACATGAATTCTTCGGAAATAACTTTATCTTGTTTCCTCCACTATAGGAAGGATGATATGAAATAATATGCGAATGTGCTTATGTATGTTTGCATGGATGTATATAGTCACGTGTTCACATATATTACTGAAATATCAGACTAACTATTTCAGATGACTACATTGTGTTGTAGTTCTAGTCAATCGGGTGTTTTCAATGTCTAGCTCTCGTTCAATCAGATTTCTCGAGGGTGTGGATATGTTAGAGTGCGATGTGAATGTGATCCTGTTGGATCTGTCTGTGTAATGTATGAATGTGGCGATCAGTTTGCATGTATGATTGTGATTAGTTGAATCATTGAAGAGAGTCATCAGATGTCATGTACAGCGACACACACACATCCTGCTGTATATATATTCGATATTAATACCAATTGTGCTTGTAAAATCTTATGTTATACAGAAAGAATTTCACATTCAGTCGAAGTTCAAACAGTCGCAACGACAAAGATTACTTGTCTTATAGTAATATCTTACAAGACAGCAAAATTTCTCCTGAATCTTATAATACGGTTTAGCATAAGGTTTCAGAAGTGACGATTTTTCGTGCGATTTCTGTCAGATCTCATAAGATCAAACAAGATCAGAGGTACGATCTTGAATCGAATGGTTTAAAAAATTCGTTATCATCTGACCGTCGGATCTGGCTAGATCCAATCGAATTTGATCTAGGATTCAATCATCTGGAATGAAACTGTCACAGCTTTTTATGAATGTGGCTTTATTTCTTTTAATAACTAAAAAGCGATTAATAATTTGACTCTCCTGCTTGAGGGTGTGGATGTGGGTGGGTGTGGGTATAGGTGGGTGTGAATGCCTGACTTTTGCTCACCTACACCCACCCACACCCACACCCACCCTCTTTTGAAAGTAACATATAAACGAATATTATGATAGAGGATGTTACTCTACTGAATATAATTATTTTCAGACTGAAAAAAGTCGAATGATTGCGAATCAAATAAATATGATATAAATCTATTTTAAAAGTGGCGTTTTCTTATTGCGTACATGTTGTGTATAAAAAATGAGGGACAACAGTAAAATAATTATAAATTTAATACTTAAATTAACATATATTTTTGAGGAATTGTAATTCAGAAAAATTAAAAATTTTCTAAATAGTAATAGAAAAACTTAAAATTTTAGGATTCAAATTTAAGATCTGCATGAAAAAATTATTTTTCTTGCAACATAAATATTGGAATTCGTTTTTTATCATTTTCGAAGAGTAAGTAAAAAAATCTAATTATTTCCTTATATAAGTCGATTCGTTCCAATAGGATAAGTCGACATATCCTCATACTAAGGTTTGTCATTAAGAAATCAATTGGAAAATGGAAGTTCCGTAGATTCAATATTTATATATTGATTCAAAATTCAATATTTTTTCTTTTATGGAGAAATGGCGATAAAACATGGATGAATAATTATTCGATTATACAGCATAATGAGATGACCAATCAACTTTTTCGGTCGCTTCAATTTCCGGTCTAAAATTCGGCTAATTATTATCATCCCTTTATGTTTCAAACAAAAAAGCTATTTGATTCATTCTGACGATAACATAAATTAAAAGTATTTTCTATTGAATTTATGTTATTTCGAAAAACAATACCGGTATTAATTCAGAAAATAAAACCAATTATATCTGATTTAATGTTTTTCCGTCAATTTTTTCGTTGTATGGATAATAAGAAGAACAAAGAAGAATTTTCAATTCCATTATGGGAATATAATAACCAAACATATTTATGGTCACAAAAATCACCTTATCAAAATAAAACAACGATCGAATGGAAAAATTTTCGAGTTCTTACATATAATATTTGGTTTTCGAAAAATTATCAACCAATGCGTTTTAATGGCCTTTGTGATATATTAAATAAATCTCAAGCACAAATAATTGGTTTACAAGAAAGTTCGTTTGATTTTTTTTTTATTCTGATTGTAATAAAAACATATATGTATATATATATAGTGACGAAAAATATTCTTCAACAACTTGTTGCACAACCATTTGTTCAAGAACGATACTATGTATCCGATATTGATGGTCGTACATTCAATGATTGGTATGGTGTTGTATTATTAATTGATAATCGTCTTAATATTTCTAACTTAAATTTGATTAATTTTCCACAATCGATAATGGGTCGTCGTTTAATATTTGCAGAGATTAAATTAGATCAAAATGAAATATTACGTATTGGTACTGTTCATTTAGAATCTCTAGATAATAAACAACAACGATTATGTCAATTAGATATTTGTCAAAAAGCATTAACTCATTCTTCAGGTAGTTCTATTTTAATGGGAGATTTCAATTTTTCTGCCGACGATCAAGAAAATGTCGATCAATTTAATAAATTGCCACAATGGATTGATGTTTGGACGTCCTTAATGGGTTCTCATAATCATGGTTTTACATTTGATACAGAAACGAATTTAATGATAAAATCTTATTGTACAAAACCAGAACGAGCAAGATATGATCGAATTATTTTACATAGTCAAACAATAATTCCTGTTCAAATTAATATTTTAGGAGATCAACCTGTTGCTAATGAAGAACAATTTCAAATATTTTCGTCAGATCATTTTGGTTTGACAGCAGTTTTTCAAAAGAAAAAAATTGATTGAAATTTATCTATGTATTATTGTCATGACTTATTTTCAGGCAAATCTTTCATGTTCAAAGTGCTAGCTTACTTTACACCTATGATTTATTTTCAATACAAATACACATAAGATGAAAAAGAAAATATTGACTTGAAACATGTTTTAAGATCAAGATTTCTTATTAATTTTTCTTTAACATGTTCTAATGAATAAGAAATTTATAGGGTGTGGATGTGGGTGTATCTAAATCTTATTCATTCACCCACACCCCACGGCATCGAGAAAAAAAATACACTTTAAGATACAACATGAAAACTTGTACAATTTACAGACGATCACTTACTTTTTCGATCGCATGCAAATTGGTTGTACAGAATTTTGCTAATTTTGACAGCGAATGATGCAACCACAAAAAAAAGAAACTGATTTATATAAATTTTGGAGTTGTTCATATTGCATTTCATGATATATTTCATCTTTTTAATACGATGTCTTAAGTGATTAAAAATTGAAAAACGAAGTATAGCCTTTTAATCGATCTCATTTGTCATGATGTATGAAAATCTATGAATTGAAAAACAAAACTTATTCCGATGCAAGAAAAAAATAAGTAGATTTCCATCTATTAATTTCATAACAATCAATTCATTTTATTTTCTCATAATCTATGTCATTCTATAGGGTAAAATCAAGTAAATCGTTAACAATAATTATTTTGCCATATTTGAAAAGTTAATATTGCTTCAGAAAATTTCATAGTAAATAGTTATAATTAATTTGATTCATGAGATCATCTTTACAAGTGCATAATGTACAAATATCAAATCGCTTATCGAAAAGTATTCTTTCTCGAGATGTCGAAAGATTCAATTTGTGGAAAGAGAGTTGGGCATTGAATGGATCAATGACATAAATGCTTACTTCCAACAGAAAAAAATGGTGCTCAAGTCAAAACCTATCAATTCTACGATGACGTGTATCAACATATTATTCAACACAATGTATTCATATTAATAAAACATATCATCATCAACCTTCATGTTTAAATGAATAGACTTCCGTATAAACTTGTGTAAATCTGTATAGGTATTCTGATTAGCTATAAGAAAAATGAAATCGTTTGATAATAGTAATAGGATGTATTAGAAAAGCCATTATGGATAGGTTAGAAGCTGTAGATAGCAGTCAATAGACAAAATGCGTCTTTTGTTGATGATTGTTGAAGATTACCAGATAAGCATGGCATTTCTAATAAAAAAAAAAGAGATCGTTTCGAACTAGAGAAACCTTTCAGAAATGGAAAATTTTTCAACTATATGAAGATAAGAAAACTAACTATATTATAATGATGTGACAGTGATGCATAAAGAATGAAACTAATCCGATCGTTTGGAAGTTTTCAATAGAATTCGGAAAAAAATTAGTTTCTTTTTTAATTAAACTTAAAAAAGTAAATGAATTTTTTATTCTTGAAATTTTTATGTATAATCAACGTTAAGTATGAGTGGGATTAACCTGAAGCAAAATAAAAAATATTATCTCGAAAATGATTAATTCATTGGAATTCTCATAAAACTCTGTTGGCAAAACAAAATTCCTGACAGAACTTTCATCGTAATCGATAGATAACTGCAGATTACAAAGCGTAAAAGACTGTACTAATATAGTTTAATAAATTATTAAAATTCTTAAACTTTTCTTTGGAATGAATTATGTTGCTATTGAAATGTTGATTTTTACTATGTCAATAACATTTTATTAAATATTTATTTCAAATAGAAATAAAAAGAGGAAAGATTCAAGCTTTCGTGCCCTGTCTGATCATATCATCAGGAGCAAAATGAAAGGTTAGCTTGTTGTTGTGGGATTTTAAAAGAATAATTGCTCAAGTTAATGCGGAGAATGTCGACCTTGGTCTTAGGGTGGAGCATCTCTCACAACACTAACAGAAGTATGTCTTTCTTTTTTGATCAAACAGCAAGATATGAAAGTAGAAACAAAAAATAAAAAAATCAAATAAACAAACAAGAAAAGAAAACGGAAAACATTGTTAAATTCTTTAATATCTGAACATGCAGCAAGTAGATCTACATTATTGGCGTACATCAACAACGACATAACACTATTCTCATGTCAGATTAAGTTTAAGTATATTTTAGACAATCAGATCAAATAGAATAACATCTTAAATTCGAATATATGATGGAGACATAATTTATTAATGTGTATTATATGAGTCTAACATACTAGTATCGAATAAAATAAAATCATGTAACATTTAAGTTCTAATATAAGATGAGTATATAATCTATTGACGTATAATAAAATTAATGATATATTTGAGTTCAATCATATGAGTCTACTAATATCAAATAAAATACGATCAAAGTTCAAATATACAGTAAAGATAGGGGTGTGGGGTGTGGGTGGTGACTTCTCCTTATCTACACCTACACCTACACTCACACCCAAACTAAATATTTTTTCAATTTAATCTTTTCTGATAACGAAAAACATCTTATTTAATATTCACTTTGTTTCCGCGAGCATGATGCTTTTTTCTTTTGCTAAGACAAATTTGATAGAGTCCTGCGCGGGTTGAACTTTTCGAATCCGACAGTTTTATTTTAGAAGTAATATAAACAAATGGCTATAGTCATACTCACATACTTTCTATGAAGTACATTTTATCACTATAATTTTTTTCATGAATGTCAAATTATTTAACAAAAAGCTATA